CAGACAAGTTTAGATGTCTCACTTGAGCAAGTGCATACACACACCCCTCACCCTACAGAACTCTACAAACTCGGCTTACGTCACTCTGAGTCCTGAGTCTTGGTATATGCAATGAGAGAGGATGAGAAGGCTTCCAAAGGCCTTTTTATTTTTATTATTTTGTTTTTGTTCTTTCTCTGTGTGTTGTTTTGTTTTTACATAGGATAGGTCACTGCAGCCCGGGCTAACTGTGAAGTCACAATACTGACAGTGTTTCTCTTGTCTCAGGCTTTTAAAGAGTACTGGAATGGCACTTCCTTTTACTTTTCTAACTATATGTGACACTTTCATTCTCCTGAGGCTTACTCATGCATTCTGGGTAAAGCAAAATATGGGGAAACTCCTCCTACTCAGGTTTAGTGAATGCTAAATGTCCCAGAACCACTGAGAAAAGAATTAATCACTTAATTGAAGAAAGGGTGTCTACCTTACTGCCACCACCAGAGGGCACTCCACTGTACACTACACAGTGTGCATGAACAGACTTTGATCCTTGCCATGGGGTAGATATCCTACTGTGGTATTCTAATTTTGCAAACTCTGACCTGCACAGGCTGATAAATAACTCAGATCATAACCCCTACACCAAGCAGGGATCATTTCTGTAGTTCATTACTCAGGGCCTGGGGACATGTGGGGAGCCTGCACTCACCAGGCATTGGCAAAGTGGTTAAGTCCTATTAAGGGAAAAAAGGTTGGAGACTGTTCTTAGTCACTGGCCTGTCCATTATGCCTTATGTAGTTTACACAATAAACTATAAGAGAGAGAGAAAAGAAATACGGTTTTTGTTTTAAAATTTTTCCTCTTGCCTTGTCTTTTTGAAGGAGGTCTGGAATGATCAAGAGAATCTAATGAAACTCAAGGTTTTAGAATGAAAACCTTAAGCGACCCTTAACTGAATGCAGTCCTCTAAGAAGTAGCCCCTTCCTCACTATGGTGGAGCAGGGAGGGAGGTGTTTCTAGGCAGCTTCTCCACCGGTCCCAGGGCTGGGGGCCTGCTGATACCACTAAGGCTCTGAGGTTAATTCCCCCTGGCACCTGGTTAAGTGTGGGACTGCCTATAAAAGCCCGACTGGGAAAAGCCCACGGCACCCGGGAAAGCCCACAGCTCCCGGGAAAGCATTGTGCTTATACACAGGAAGCCCTCCTTTCCAAAGCCCCCTTCCAACACCTCTTCCCACAGATAAATGCTACAGCAAATGTCAGAAACTCTCCCCTTCCCCGCACCCCTGTCTCTCACTAGCTTAACTAGGCTGCAATTTCTTCTTAAGTTTAGTCAGCCATCTGTAAGGGTTTTTTCTCCCCAAAGATGAGCCCTGTTGCCCAGGGAATTCTATACAAGCCATAAGGTGGTTGGACTGCCTTTCCCTCTCACCCACCAGATGGCAGACACATGCCAAGCAGCTCCCACAAATACTACCAAGGCCTCTGCCAGCTCAGACTGTAGAATCAACACATGGTAATAATTATTATTTTAAGATGACAAAAAGGTCACAGAAATCTGCAGAGATCCTGGTGGCAACGTGGAGTCTGGGGGCTTTGAGGTTCAAGAACCACAGCAGATCCGTGGGCTCTGATTGATGCTCCCAGCCTCGCTTAAGTCATTTGTATTCACGAAGGCACCCTCCTGGTGCCGCTATGTTTAATTCTGGATGTGTTATAAATAGAAGCTAGCGTTCTGTCAGAGCACCACCCACCACCATGTTCCGGTCCTCTGGGGACATCAGCCAAATCTGAGCCTTTGTTTCCCTCTAGTGGCCTCTTTCGGCAAGTCTCACAACCTATCCTTTGAGTTTATTTATTCTTCTTATAGCAAGGGCCTACTGGATGCACTTGGGTGGTGTCAGGTTCTCTAGCTTTGTAGGAGGGTGGGACAACTCTGCCGGTTTCAGAAGAAATGAAAGCCAGTGATTCTTCCTCCAAGCTCATCTTGGAACAATGCAGACAGACCAGTTTCTCAGCTTTCCTGGGGGCTGAAGGAGAATGCTCTATGGTATAGAGCACTTCTGCTCTGAGTTATCAGGATCTCCTCCGTAGCAGGATTCTTCTCCCCCATGCCTTAGTAAAACAGGTCTAAATGCTGACCACCTGCCACATATTCAAACCCACAATGCAAAACCAAAAGCAAACCCACGTCGGTTTACAGGAAACCTTTCTCACATATGCAGTAAAAGGAAACTGAAAGTACTGTTTCTAAACGGATTGTGCCTGCATAAGCTGGGCAACACATAGACTTGTGCAAATACAAGTGCAGCCCATGGGTTTCATCTCACAGTCTTGTGTTTTGCACCACATTTGTTCCGAGAGCACTTGATGTTTCGGGTACATGTGATAGAAAGTGGCAAGAAACAGATGTTGAGATGTTGAGATGTGAGCTGCCTGACATGGGGCTTGGGAACCGAGCTCAGGTCCTCTGGAAGAACAGCCAATGCTCTTCACTGCTGAACCACCTCTCTAGCCCCATCTTCTTAAAGATTTTTAACCCAGATCTCCCTAAACTTTAGATTCTTCTGCCTTGCCTCCACGTGCTGGGATTGCAGTCACAGGACACAATACTCAGCCTTTGTTTTCTTTATTTTAAAGGCATGGCCTCGGGGGCTGGAGATGGCTCAGAGATTAAGAGCACTGGCTGTTCTTCCAGGGGTCCTGAGTACAATTCCCAGCAACCACATGGTGGCCTACATGAAGACAAACACAGGGTAGAGATAATAAATAAAACCTTAAAAAAAAAAAAAGGGGGCCAGGCATTGGGGGTGCACGCCTTTAATCCCAGCACTCCGGAGGCAGAGGCAGGCGGATCTCTGTGAGTTCAAGGCCAGCCTGGTCTCCAGAGCGAGTGCCAGGATAGGCTCCAAAGCTACACAGAGAAACCCTGTCTCGAAAAACCAAAAAAAAAAAAAAAAGGCATCTGTCTTTGTCTTGGCCAAGTTCAAGTGATCTCCTAGCCTCAGCCCCCTGAGCTGGGATTACAGATGTGTGTCAGCGTGATCAGTGAGGTACTTGGCAATAACTACAGTAGCCTTTTATTCACAAAGTGCTAAATACTATACTAGACAGATGATTTACATACAGTGTTTCTAATATTTACAAAGCCCTTGCTGTAATCAGTTGCCCAAGATTTCCCTTGTCTACATTTGCATAATCCTTCTATCATAAATAATTTCCCTTTTTATTACAATGGCATCTGTCATCTTTCCATTCACCTAAATGCATGCTACTGGAAAACAAAAATCATTCTGGGGTTAGAACAGCTCATTCATTTGAAAAATAGGAAGCTGGAAGGTTCAGCTTGATCCAGAAGACAGATCAAGACATAGTTGACTTACATCGTTCATTTTTACGGAGTTTCTGGGAACTGAACCTAGGTCCTCTCACGTGCTAAGTCAACATCTACCACTGAGCTATATCCATGAGCCTCTCTTTACTTTTTTAAATATTGGTTCTTTGTTTTATTTTTTGTTTTTGTTTTTCAAGACAGGGTTTCTCTGTGTAACAACAGTCCTGGATATCCTGGAACTCACTCTGGTAGACCAGGCTGGTCTGGAACTCATAGAGATCCCCCTGTCTCGGCCTCCCAAGTGCTGGAATTAAATGCATGCACACCCACCCCCCAGCCAATATATTTGTTTTTTGTTTGTTTGTTTGTTTGTTTTTCGAGACAGGGTTTCTCTGTGTAGCTTTGGAGCCTATCCTGGCACTCGCTCTGGAGACCAGGCTGGCCTTGAACTCACAGAGATCCGCCTGCCTCTGCCTCCCGAGTGCTGGGATTAAAGGCATGCACCACCAACGCCCGCCTTATATTTGGTATTTTTAAGACAGGGTCTCACCGTGTAGCCTTGGCTGTTCTTGAACGCCCTCTGTAGACCTCTGCATTCTTCCTCCGGAGTGCTGGGGTTAAAAGTGTGCATCACCACACCTGGCTCCCTCTTCATTTTTTATTCAGAGACAGGGTCTCACTAAATTGCCCATATTGGTCTTCAATTCCCTCTGTAACCTAGGCTGACCTTGAACCTCCCCCTACCCTCTCATTTTTGTGTTTTGAGACAGGGTTTCTCTCTGTGTAACAACCCTGACTGTCCTGGAACTGGCTCTGTAGACCAAGTCTCAACCTCAGAGATCTACCTGCCTCTGCCCCCAGTACTAGGATTAAAGTTATGCTCCACCACCACCACCACCACCACCACCACCACCACCATCCGGCTGACCTTGAGCCTTTCATCCACCTGCTTTAGCCACCCAAATTTCTATGATTATAAATCTACCACCAGGCCCAGCAATGATCTCATAATTGATTTTAAAAAAGCAAAAAACAACAAAACTAATAAGGGGAACTGACCATGGTGATTAGTGAGGTAGGAGGGTTGCCATGAGTTTGAGGTTAACCTGGACTAGATAGTACACTCACAGTCAGCCAAGCTACAGTGTGAAACCCTGTCTCAAAAATATAAAGAAAGAAAAGTAGAAAAAGGAAAAACAAACAAACAAACCTGTGGGCTAAAAAGATGTCTCAGCAGTTAAGAGCACTGGCTGCTCTTCTAGAATACCTGGGTTCAATTCCCAGCACACACATAGCATGGCAGCTCATAACTGCCTGTAGCTCCAGTTTCAGGGGATCCAACACCTTCACACAAACATACATGCAGGCAATACATGAATGCACATGAAATAAAAATAAATTATTAAAAAGAAACAAACAAACCATGACCAATCAACAAACCAACCAACACCTGAAAAAAGGAAAGAAGATAGGCACAAATAGGATGAAATCCAGGATGTCTGAAGCAGCTTTGGCTCAGCTCTTGGGAGGAGCCAATGGCAGGCAAAGGGCTTCTAGTACTTCCAGCCTAGGATCTCCAAAGCCTTGACCTGTCCCTTCCTTGCCCACGGGAGCTCCCATGGCTTATTTGTTGTGATCTCTGCCTCATACGTGCTGTCATCCAGCATCTGCATTGCTCATTAGAGGTTTCTCCTCTTTCCAGTATCTTATTATGTTGGAACGTTGGGAACTCACACTGAAATCAAGAGAGTGGCAGAGGAAAAGGTTACCTTGCCCTGTCACCATCAACTGGGGCTTCCAGAGAAAGACACCCTGGACATTGAATGGCTGCTCACGGATAATGAAGGGAATCAAAAAGTGGTAAGTACCCTCCTAGCTAGAGCTGCCCTCCTCTATGCCCTCACATTTGCTTTCTTCAAATCTTTCTCATCTAACATTAACCTGGACAACTTCACACACAAAAATACAGAAAAGGACCAGAGTGGTACATACCCATAATCATAGCACTCAGGAGGCACTGGCCATGAAGAGCTTGAAGTTAGCCTGGGCTAATAGGAAAACCCTGTCTCCAAAAAGAAAAGGGAAAATAGAAGAGTATTTGGGTTGTGAGGGTATGAGAGTCTTTGGGCTGGGCAGAACTAGTCCAAAGCCATCTGGCATTGGGGAAGGGAGTCTGTGCCGTTAGCATCTTCATCTAAGAATGGGGCTAAGATGCAGCAGCTTGTTACCCTGGTCTAGTGGGTAGAACTCAAAACCCAGAACTCTTTTTCGCCCACTTCTCTGAAACTATCATCACCTGCCCAGGTTTTGGCTTTGCTCAGTCATGACTTCTAGGTTCCAAAGATAATAGAATATGACAACCAGCATGTGACACAGAGGTTCAAGTACAGGACATGAATGACAATGCTGTTCACAAATGTGGCTAGTACACAAGACAACTGATACTGGCTCTGAAATTTAAAAAAGAAGAAGAAGAAGAAGAAGAAGAAGAAGAAGAAGAAGAAGAAGAAGAAGAAGAAGAAGAAGAAGAAGAAGAAGAAGATAAGAAAGAAACAGGGGCTCAGGACTTCCAAACTCAATGTAGATAGAGCCGTGATGGACTTTGGTGTTCCGTTCTTCTGGCAGTGCAGACGAAACTGATGTGCTCAGCTTCCTGAGGGTGCCCTGTGCTGCCTGTCATTAGAGAATATGACTAAGTCACCCACAGTTACCATCCTTTCTGCCTTGGCTGCCTGCAGCCGGGGTCTCCCCTAGTGACTGAGAAACCACTGAGGGAGGCATTGGCATGTCTCACCTGCAATCTGAGGTGTATAGCATGTCCCTTCATAACATCTGGCCTTGCTGTGTGTCTGAGGCAGACTCCCCTCTTCTAAACCTGTCTTTTGTCTTTAGAACTTACTAGGTAAAAGAGGGATTATGTCCTACATCCCACTGGGCAAATTTCTCCATAAGCAGAAATGCTATTCAACTTAGGATAAGGTTACATTTCCATAAACCAACAGGAAATGTCACAAACTCAGCATGCATTTAATATCCCTACCCATTGAATATCAAAGTGGGACCTATCCTACCTTAAATATATTCATATCATTTTTGCCTAGGTTGGTCAAAATGGTCTAGCATAATACTTATTTATGATTAGTAGAGTGTCACGTGTCTTATGTGAAATAAGATTTTTGTGATTTTTTTTTAAATGTATGTTAGTATTTGGCCTGCATGTAAGTCTGTGTGAGGGAGTCAGATACACGAGAACTTATATTACAGACAATTGTAGGCTGCCTTGTGGGTTCTGGGAATTGAACCTGAGGCCTTTGGAAGAATAGCCAGTGTTCTTACCACTGAGCCGTCTCTCCAGCCCCCAGGATTTTTTTTTAATCTATAACTTGGAGAGTCTTTTAAACTTGCCTTCTTTTTTATGGAGATTTGTTTCTTTCTCTGAGTAAAATAAAAACAAAAACAAAAACCCAGAAATTTGGCCTTTCCTCTGAATGTCCCTATTATTAATTTCATTGGATGGTCTGTACTGGGAGAAGCTAAGATTTCCACTAAAAATGCCTCTCAGGATCACACTGGAGTTTAACCTGCTTACACGGCTGCCTGTGTCACCTTGTTGTGTGACACTGCTTGTCATCTTGCTCTCATAGCACGTTCTCCAAAGACGACCTGTTCTCGGCAGAGCAAGGTCACCTTAACCTGAATGTGTTTACTCTGAGAATGTCTTGGTCAGTCATAGACATGCTATTCTCAGCTCTGAATGGAGTAAATGGGAGTTCCTGGAATAAAATCCAAAGAACAACCCTGAAACAGACTCTCCTCTGACCAGACTTGAGTCCAGCTCCCCAGTTCCTCACTGGGACTGCCTTTTCTGACCTGGCAGAACCTGTTAGGAATGCTAGTCCTGCCAAGTCCATTCAGTGAACCACTCATGCTGGGTATCTGCCCATCTGCAATATCAAATTAACTGGCCAACCTTCACCAAAAACATCCTCTTGAGTTGACAGAGGCAGAAACTCTTACCTCTGATGTTTCTCAATAACTCAAACCTCCAGCCAGGTAGTGGTGGTGCACACCTTTAATCCCAGCACTCCGGAGCTTGGAGGCCAGCCTAGTCAATAGAGGTAGTTCCAGGACAGGTTCCAAAGCTACAGAGAAACCCTGTCTCGAAAAACCAAAAAAAAAGAAAAAACAAGTTCAAGCACCCACTTATCCTTTGAGCCAGACTTCAGCTGACCTCTCTCCCCAACTCATGGCCTGGAAGCAGTGGTCCCTACCCTAGGGGAATAGATGTTCCCACTGTCTTTAACGAATGTCGCTGGATACTTTCTCCTACATGGGTGTTTGTGGTGTATCAACACTCACCCAGAGCACCTGCTCATTTTCTCTTTAACAACCACACATCTAACTTTTGCCCAAAAGTTTTCATTTGAAGTAAAGGGAAAGAACTGCTGAGTTATATGGTCAAACAACCATAAGAATGGGAAAGTTAGTGTAGGTTTAAAAAGACCACTCACATGGCTTCATGCGGTCATAATTTCCTGACTTACCCTCAGCTGATGATCTAAGGATGGCCATTTCTTCTATCATTCAGACCCCATAGATTTATTTAGTGCTCACTTGATGCCATTCTAGGTTCCAGGATGCAACTGTGAAGAGGCCACTGTATCACTGCCTCCTGGGAGCTTACAGTGAAAGACATTCAATAGTTTGAAAGGAAAGGAGCTGGGGAGGTAATGCACTCGATGAAGCACTTACCCAGAATGCCCAAAGCCCTGGGTTCGACCCACAGCATCAATAAACTGGATGAGGTAGTGCATACAAGAAATCCTAGCACTCGTGAGGTAGAGGTGAGAAGATGGAAGTCCAAGGTAATCCTCAGCTACATAAACAGTAGGAGTACTACTGTCTTTGCTACATGATACCAGTGAGCAAGTGAAGATTTATTTAGTCTTACCAGAAACTACAGCAATTTCAGCACATGGTGTTTTTTGTTTTCTTTTCCCTTACGAAGCAAAACAAGAATTTTCACCTTTTTACTGAAGGAAGACTTTATGTCTTCTTTTTAATGTATTCAAGTTTTACCATTTCTATGCTTTCATCTGTGAGTCAGGTTCCTTGAATCTAACCTGTATCTCCATCTTAGAACAGCCTGCTGCTAGGTGACTGATGAGTGGGCCTCCTACACAACGTGGACAGGCTGGATAAAGGTACAGCATGTCTCAGGCAGGATGAGATAGGATGGCAAAAACTTCCTCACACTACTCAGAATCATACACAATCTAAACCATGCATACTGTTTGTTTCTGGGATTTTCTTTTCTTTTCTTCTTTCTTTCTTGTTTGTTTGTCTTTTGAAACAGGGTTTCTCTTTGTAGCTCTGACTGTCCTGGGTAGACCAGGTTGGCTTCCAACTCAGAGGTCCACCTGCCTCTGCCTCCCAAGTTCTAGGTTTAAAGGCGTGCACCAGCACTGCCAGACTATTTCTGGAATTTTCTTTCAGCGCTTTTGGACAGGGATTGGCTACAAGTAATGAAACCCCAGAAAGTGAAACTAGAGATAAGAGGATTTCTACATAAGGCCAGAACCACCCCCCCAAGACTTTATGGAGGATAGAACAAGGACAGCTTTCTGTCAAAACAAAACAAAACAAAAAACTTGTTTGCTTTTTTGAGACAGAGGCTTGCTATGCAGCCCAGGGTGTTCTCAAACTCATGGCATTCCTCCTGCTCTGCTTATAAGAATGCTGGGGTTGGGGCTGGAGAGATGACTCAAGAGGCAAAAAGCCCTGGCTGCTCTTCCAGGGTCCTGAGTTCAATTCCCAGAAACCACATGGTGGCTCACAACCATCTAAAATGAGATCTGGTGCCCTCTTCTGGCACACATGCAGACAGAACACTATATGCTTTTTTAAAAAGAATGCTGAGACCATAGGTATTCACTATCACACCCAATGTTTTTATTTTTTAGATAGAGCCTCTGAAGCTCAGGCTGGCCTTAGATTTGAAACCCTCTTTCCCCAGCCTCCCGAGTGCTAGCATTACAGTCATAGACCACCACGTGCAGCTTTGGTCTAAGTCTCAAAACATTCCTAAAGGAAACACAGCAGCACAGACTGAAAGGCTAGGAAATCCTAAGCAGCTGGAGTGGTGGAGTTAAAGATGGAAGCCTGTGGGGACTGCAAGGAAGATCTCCCAGCCATACTAGGGAGTTTAAAACTATTCCTATAATAATGTCATGGGATTTGAGAAAGATTTTAAGAGTACTAGGGACATGTATTTTAAGGCAACCACTCTGACACGGGTGCGTTGAAACAGAATCTCAACTAAACACAAGCATAATTTCATACTATACAATAAAGGTTTCCCTTCCCCCACCTCCTCCTCCCACTTCTCCTCCTCTTGACTCATGCTTTAGTAAGTACTCGCACACGCACACACACACACACACACACACACACACACAAAGAAAAATGTAAAAATATTTTTAAATCTCACTTGTATATCGCAGACTGGCCTTAAATTCCCATTCCTATCCCTCCACCCCACCCCCAGCTCCTGAATGCTACGACTGCAAACATTCACCACCACGCCCAGTTTACAATCATTTAAATCTCAGTCACGTGTACTTGGGAGTCTCAAGACAGATAAGAAACAAATAGTGGGTAAAGCGCCAGGGCTTTGTAATTTCCAGGGTGTTCAGAAAAGAGTGAGGCTGAGGGTGGCTGAGAAGAGACCAGAAAGGCTGAAATAGATGTGGTGTGTACAATGGGCTAAGCAGTGACGCAAATCACAACTTTAGCTTTGCAATGCAATTTGAGAAATGTTTTTCTCTCTTGTCTAGGATGCTCAGAACAGGCAGGGAACA